TATGAAATGCATAAAATGCTTTTATAAAAACAATCAGGTGACATTTTCCCTTTAAAAATTGTAAGCAGGCTGGGCGTGGTGGCTCACACCTGTAATCCCAGCATTTTGGGAGGCCGGGGCAGCAGGGGCGGGGCGGATCACTTGAGGTTAGGAGTTCTAGACCAGCCTGGCCAACACGGTGAAACCCCCTCTCTACTAAAAATACAAAAATTTGCCTGGCATGGTGGTGGATGCCTGTAATCCCAGCTACTCCGGAGGCTGAGGCGAATTGCCTGAACCCTGGAGGCACAGATTGCAGTGAGCCGAGATCATGCCCCTGTACTCCAACCTGAGAGACACAGCAAGACTCTGTCTCAAAAAACAATAATAATTACACATAAATTAAGTAAATATTATAAGCAATATACCAAGATGTTAGCAGTGGTTCCTTTCGAGTGATGAGAAAATGGACAATAGTAATTTATTTTTTACTTTTGTCCAGGTTTTTAATTTGCAACATAAAAAATGAGGTATTAATGAATTACTTGTTCACCAGTCTACTAATCATGAATTTAGCATGCATTAAACATACGTACTTTATTAATATGTATTTTTTCATAAAGTTATCCTAGGATATAAAATGGGTAATAAAGAATGCAAGTATCTCAACTTCTACAATGTTCAAAGGGAAAGTGCCAAACGTGCATGTCTTAGTAGGATCCCTAAGATAGCAATTAATGAATGATGTGGGGAATGTGGGAAATGTATTCTTGGATATACCTTTTATCTCATTATTGTTTATTACTCGATTCTATGAAATAACCTCTATTTTATGTACTATGGCACATTTACAATATACAGCATCTGAATAAAATTATATAACTGGTTATGCTGAACTGGTAGTTTAGATATTATAAAGTAACTCATCTTGTTACCTCATAAACCATAAACCACATTAGTATCTGAGAAATTAAAAAGATTTCTAAAATGTCCCACTTCAGGTATAGAATTTTACAAGATTTAGGGGGACATTATCACATCGTTTCTTGTATTAAAATAACAACAATAACAATAGAAGGCTAAACCAAAAACCTAAAAAGAAATGGTTACTAGACATAAAAGAGTAGAGAGATAGGGACTGAAGGTACACTTCTTTGAATACATAATGTTTTTTGTTTGTTTGTTTGTTTGTTTGTTTTTTGAGATGGGGTCTAACTCTGTTGCCCAGGCTGGAGTGCAGTGGCACAATCTTGGCTCACTGCAACCTCCGCCTCTCGCGTTCAAGCAATTAACCTGCCTCAGCCTCCCAAGTAGCTGGGGTCACAGGCACCCACCATCACCCCCAGCTAATTTTTGTATTTTTAGTAGAGACGGGGTTTCACTGTGTTGGCCAGGCTGGTCTCGAACTCATCACCTTGTGATTCACCCGCCCCAGCCTCCCAAAGTGCTGGGATTACAAGCATGAGCCACCATGCCCGGCCACATAATGTTTTTAATATTTGACTTTAGAACCATGTATTTTACATAATTCTAAACTTACATTTAAAAAGTGATCCCTATAACTTGAGCAAAATGAGAAAATGTATCTACCTGTGTAAGAGTTGGTAGCATAACCATATAAAGAACTTTTAAAGAGACTTTATGACACAGTAATATGACGAACATACCTAGTGTGATATGCCCTAAAGATTAAAAAAGAACAAAACTGCGAACAAAAGCTCTTAATCTGTTTCTAGTAATGATATTGTTGATAATACTGGCATCATGTATTGGGATAAAGCTAATGAATAATCATGTTGATGTCATTTGGGGTATTTCATTTGGAAAAACAGATGCAATATAGATTAGGTTAATTAAAAACTCTGTGAGATCCTGATTTGAAAAGAAAGTTGGTATGCATTCATGATTATAAATACACACACACACACTTTTCTCAGCTCTGTCCGCTGAAAGGGTCTTGAAGCAATGAAGAACTCACTAACAATGTGTAACAATAAAGCCCAGTTTTGATCTCTAATGGTCATTTTCAATTCTAAAATTAGGGCCCCTTAAAGGCAGATTTCAGGTCAGAAGCAAAACGTATATAACGTCGACCTGAAACATTTTGTCATATCAAAAACAAGAAAAAGCCATAAAAGCCTATTGGCATAAAGTCTCAGGAGTCACTTTGAAGAGTCACCTGCTGGCCAATAATAGGTCTGAACTTCAATTAGAAGAATGCCTGCCATGGATTGAAATATAGTTGGCCCCCTGTATCCATGGGTTCTGCATCCGTAGATTTAACCCAACGTAGGTCATAAATATTTAGGAAAAAATACATCCGTGCTAAACTAATACAGACTTTTTCCCTTTGCGTTATTCCCCACACAATACAGTATAACAACTATTTACACTGCATTTATATTATATTAAGTATCATAAGTAATCTAGAGATTATTTAAAATATATGAGATGATGTGCATAGGTTATATTCAAATACCACACCATTTTACATCAGGGACTTGAGCATCCATAGGTTTTGATACCTCCAGGAGGTCCTACAACCAACTCTCTATGCATACTGAGTGATGACTGTATGTCAAATGTGTTTAAATCCATGAAATCATAATAATCCTATTTTTTTAAAGTGGGTCTTATTTAAAGGTGTAATTTACCAATTCATTATTTTCAAAATTGGTACAGAGACATAATTAAGCATTTATCTCATTTTTCCTATATTAATAATGCCTTAGAATAACTAGTTGTTGAGAAAACATGAAAGAAACAGTCTAGCTACTAAACAAATAATAAATGATAAAATCAAAATAGCACTGTTTTGAAAATACTAATGAAATAATAGATCTAGAAAATGATAGTCAAAGGCTGCTAACAACTCAGAAGGAGAAACAACCACATATCATGTGTTTCCTACTAGAACAACACAACACATGTGAAGTAGTCTCGTCAAAAAAAAAAAAAAGAAAAAAGAAAAAAACTTCTAGATACAACTTCTAGATACAACTACCAATTAAACTTCTAATTGGTAGGATCAAACTTCTAGATACAACTACCAATTAATAGGAAATAATCAAAACAGAGAAACAAGTTAAAAGGCAATCAGCAAATTCCAGAATGCAGTACACTCTCCTGACCTGTTTTACCAATAAACTACAAGAGAGAGAGAAAGAGAGAGTGAATTATAGATTCAGGGAGATTTAAGAAACATGCAATAGTAGGAATGTTTGTGTCCCTCCAAAATGCATGTGTTGAAGTCCTAACCCCTAAGGTTATGGTATTAGGAAGTGGGGTCTTTGGAAGATAATTAGATCATGAGAGTGCAGCTCTTATGAATGGGATCAGTGCCCTGATAAAAGGGACCTTGAAGAGCTCTCTCATTCTTTTCTGCCATGTGAGGATATAACAAGGTGACAATATGACAGTCTGTAACTTGGAAGAGGGCCTTAAACAGAACCAGACCATGCTGACACCACCATCTCAGACTTCCAACCTTCGAAACGGTGAGAAATAAATTTCTGTTGTTTACGTCACCCAGACCATGGTACTTTCTTACAGCAGCCTGAACTAACAAAACCAATTATAATATGTGGACTTCATTATAATTCTGATTTCAACTAGTAAACTGCGTGGGGAGGAATTAGGAGGCAATGAGAAATATTTGAATGCTAACTGGATATTTAAGGTAAGGAATTATTTTATGTTGTTTTAGGTGGGAAAATGGTATGGTTATGTTTTTATTTTTTTAAATGCTTACCTTTTATACAGTGATGCTGAAATATTTACAGTTGAAATGACTAAATGTCTGGGATTTTTTTTTCAAAATAATTTGAGTGCAGAGGAAACTGGAAGGGTTGTAGATGAAACTTGGAAGTGGATGTACCTCTCTACTTTTGGAGATGCTGATAATTTTCCATATAAAAGTTCTGAAAACAGAAAATAAAATGCTCACATTGTGAGGCTAAGGTCAAAAGAAATCAGAAATGCATGAGAATTTCCAAATCCAGGGTTATTTAAGAACAACATAGAGGAAAAAATTTCTGGTTTAAGTTGCAAAAATGTGTTTCTTTTATACAATATACTAACAAATCATAATTAACTGAAAAATATGACACTTTATATGTAAAGGGGAGAAAACTACTCCACCAAAGATGCCGCATTCATTTAGAGATCAAAGAAATGTGTCTGCCAGGCAACCAAGGGCTCATGGGAAAGCTGTGGTTTGTGTACAAATGCTATTTGTCTAATATTTTGTGCGTTAATGACTGTCCCATTAGCATCTTCACTACACTTATTTTCATAGAAAGGAGAAACATATGATTTATAGAGCCCTTTAGTGACAAGGGTGAGGATCCTATACATTATGTTGCTGGTTTCCTAGTCTTCAGCAAGAAAGTGTAGGAGAGAAGCAAAAAAAGTCCTGTTCCAACCCCTGCTCCTGGATGTGGCAAGGAAGAGGAGTTACCCAGCTTGAAACAAAAGAAATCCTAAGTCTGACACACAATGTCATGTTTAAATTCCCCTTTCTCCAAAATGTAAAATAAATGTGCTTCCATCTTCTAAAATACTATGGCACTAAACAACCTTTTGTAATGCTAAGGAAATGCCAGTATTCTCATTGATTTAGGAGAGGGATGTTCTGGTCATAGAAAGATGCTGTGTCTCAGAAACACTTAAATACTCTTAAGCTAGAAATAGAGGGGAAAAGAATGCCTCCCTGCATCTCCCCTCAACTGAAGTCCTCCTTTCTTAGCCTGATTTCCGATGAAATGTCTGAATGCCTACAGTTATTTGGCCATCCTCAAAAGTGCAACTTATCCTGACGTCTCAAGGGACGGAAAAGTTACCGAAGTCCAAGGAATGAGTCACTTTGCTCAAATTTGATGAGTAATCTCAGGTGTCATGAAACCCAGTTTCAAAGGAGAGGGGAGGGGGCGTCAGATCTGCAGACGGAAGCAGGCCGCTCCCGATTGGATGGCGAGACCTCGATTTTCCTAAAATTGCGTCATTTAGAACCCAATTGGGTCCAGATGTTATGGGCATCGACGAGTTACCGTCTCGGAAACTCTCAATCACGCAAGCGAAAGGAGAGGAGGCGGCTAATTAAATATTGAGCAGAAAGTCGCGTGGGGAGAATGTCACGTGGGTTTGGAGGCTCGAGGAGGCTGGGATAAATACCGCAAGGCACTCAGCAGGCGAAAGAGCGCGCTCGGACCTCCTCCTTCCCGCAGCCACCGAGAGTGCGGAGCGACCAGCGTGCACTCGGAGGAACCAGAGGAACCCAGCACCCCGCGGGACTGTCAGTCGCAGTAAGTACCCGCGCAGCGCCGGCCGCGGCTGCCCGGGTCACTCCACCCCGCATCTGTCCGAGGTGGCCGCGCTGGGTGCGCCGCTGCGGTGAGGGACAGTGGGGAGACTGGCTTCCCAAACGCCAACGCCCCTCTTTGTCTTCCACCTGCAGAGTTTCCTGGTTTGAAGGTGTGGGTTGGTGGGTTAGAGGGCTGAGGGAGTTGGGATTCAGGGAGAAGAGGGTTGGAGAATCTTTGGGACGCGATTCTCTCGCCTAACGGGTGCAGGTGAGACTTTAGTCCTTGTATTTTTGATCTTAGTTCATCCGTTGTGGGGCAGAAAATTCTGTTGCTCTAACTCTTGGATAACCACCCCTAATAGATATATTATTTCTCTCTTTGGTCTCTTCTCCCACTACCCCTTCCCAGAAATTCAACATGAAAATCCTCGTGGCCTTGGCAGTCTTTTTTCTCGTCTCCACTCAGCTGTTTGCAGAAGAAATAGGAGCCAATGACGATCTGAATTACTGGTCCGACTGGTCCGACAGCGACCAGATCAAGGTGAGGCCCCTTCCCAGGACAGCCCGCACCCTTCTTCCTGGGCTCGGGAGCTGTCACCTTCCCACGCAGCAGCACCCTAGTTAACGTGGCAGGCACCGCGACCACGACGAGAGGCAGCGGATGCGTGCGGGAGGATGGAAAGGGGCGCTATTTCCCGGGTTCCTCACGGGATTTTGTGCCCACGATTCAAGTTTCTTCCCGAGGGCTGCACCGTCCAGCCCAGGAACTCCCTGCAGCAGGGATGCCCTCCCGGATGAGCCCGAGATCCCCACAAGATCATAAATCTCGTAAGATTTCATCCCCCAGAAATGGGGATTTCGGGGGCTCCGGTCCAGCTGCACTGCCCTAGCGTCTGGGCACGGGCAGAGGGCGCCTTGGTCGCGGGCAGCAGCGGGCACACGCGTGAGCTGCAGGGGGATTGGAGGGCCGGAGGCTGGAGGGAAGTTAATTTCCTGCCTTCACGTTTGTTTTGCGGACCTGAGGATGTAGCTTGAAGTTTCCCTTTAGAAACTCGTAGGCTACTGGCGCTGGGGAGCGCGCCTCGGGAAAAGGGTGAAAGTCGTCTATAAAACGTTGTCACCCTTTCCCACCGCAGCCCCAGCCCCAGATCACACACACCTGTGTGCATTTAGGGTGGTGAGGCGTCTACAAAGCCGACACCGAGACAAGACAAAGTCAGGTGGCGGCGCGGCAGATGAGGGAAGGTCCCCGGGCTGGGAGGAAAGAACGGAAAGCGCTCGAGGCTTGAAGACGCCAAGCCAGCTGCTAACTCGCCCTGGCAGGCTTGCGGGGACGGGACGCGGGTTCGGCGAGGAGGGGCGCAGAGAGGGAGCGCCTCGGGAGGTACCCCGCTCAGCCCGAGCGTCGGGAAGGCTGCCTCCCCCCGCCTCGGGGCCGGAGTACAGCGGGAAGGGCTCGGGTTGCTGGGTGCCTCGCTCCGGTTGCCTTACACGCCCTTTGTCCGTGCTTTTGTCCCCCAGGAGGAACTGCCTGAGCCCTTTGAGCATCTTCTGCAGAGAATCGCCCGGAGACCCAAGCCTCAGCAGTTCTTTGGATTAATGGGCAAACGGGATGCTGGTGAGATGGGCGACCGTCCCTAGGTGTCTTGGGCAGCCCGCCCTGTCTGCTCACTCCTTCTCGGAGTACCCCAGGGTCTCTCGCTCTGAATAAAGATTTCTACTCCAACAGGGGTGTAACCCAGGCGCGACATTGGCCCACACCGCACTAAGGCGCGCACGGGCCCGCAGGGGGAGGGAAAGATCTGGTTCGCGTGCCTCACTGTATTCGAGTGAAGCGCTCCCTTGACTAAAGATCCAAACTGACAAAGGGAAGACACGGGCCTCCAGGGGTAGTACTGCGGTTGATCCAAGTGCATGTGGAACAGGATTTTGTAGCATTCCCTGAGGTGAGAGTAGATTTGTCTTGGGATAGAAATATTGTTTCCTTGAATTTATCGCACCGTCAGTGGAACATGTAATGACAATTCGTCTCTTGTCAGATTCCTCAATTGAAAAACAAGTGGCCCTGTTAAAGGCTCTTTATGGTAAACATTCCTATAAATCTTTATTTTACTATTGTGTAAAGCACATGTAGGAAAGTGAAATAAAATCTTTTATGGGCTGAAATACAAGATCTAGATGATGCCTGTTTAATAAAGAGATGTATTTGCATACTCTCTCTCGATCTCTCTGTCACTCCCTTGCTGTCACTCTCTCGCTGTCATTCTCTCTCTGTCTCTCTCTGTCTCTCTCTGCCACTCTCTCTCTCTTTCTCTCTCTCTCTCAATGGGTGGCCAGTCTTGAAGGTGGGAAATACTACAGTCTTATAGTCAATAAGAGGTCTCAAAAGTCTCATAGTCCTAGGTTTGAATCCCATAGAAGGCACTTAATAAAAATTCCATTTGTTTGTTTAAATATTTAGTTTTTATTATTAATAAGTTGTTTAGCATTTATGGTTCTGCCTTATTCCTCAGGATAATATATAGATAGAAAATGTTACATATTTTGATAATCAAATTATTTTATAAAAGATATAATGTAGCATCTTTAAAAACAAATGTATATGTGTTTGCTAATTTTATCTTTCTTCTAGGACATGGCCAGATCTCTCACAAAAGTAAGTTCAAAATTGTTTTGACATTTATCAAATTTAAATGTAAAATTATATTGAATTTCACTTTATTTATCTTACCTTGTTTTCTGTCATAACCCTAAGGCTTAATATGTTTAATGAAGACAATATAAGAATGGGGGAGATTCGTATTACATCCAGAATATGGTTGTTTAAACCTGTGTTGTTTAGACATATTGTACTTAGCAAAGAGGTGCATTATATTAAAAAAGAAAAAAAAAGTCTTTTAAGTCCCTTAAATTGTTAGTTTTAGATAAGAATTTCAATCCTAGGCTTAGAAATCTACCATACACATTTCTTCCCACCCACCCACCCCCTAAGCTTACTTTCACTGTAAACAAACAAACAAACAAACACAAAACCCCCACAAGCATTTATAGACATCTTCTAACTCATTTTAGTATGCTTGGTCCAATAATGATGTCATTTATTAGGGTCATCCAGCAGTCAATTAAATGGAATGAGTGAGTGAATATGAGTAGAGAATCCACACTAAAAATGAAGATGGGTAGAGATGCAGTTTTTTAATCCCCTAATTGAATGGGAAAACTTGATCAGTAAAATATTTCTTAGGGCAGCAAAGATGGCAAAATTGTGGTACGTGAAGGTCATTAGATTTGTTTCTCAGTTAATGGAGCCAGAGTTGACAAGAAGTGGCAAGGGTCTATCTTCATCATATTGTTCACTCACGTACCCTGTCATGAATTTGGTGCATTGGGTGGCAGAGCAGGCCGCGTTAACGTAGCAGCTGTATTCTCAACCATTGAAATAAAAACCAAGAGAAATTCTGTCACTGGCATTAAACTAGTAACCTTTCCGAAGAGTTCATCTTTGAAAAATAAATAAATAGTATTCATATTTACTTTCTAAGGATTTGACTTTGAAAGGAATTATACATAAAAATTCTATGTAATAAAAAATGTACTCTATTCATGTCAAAACTAATACACTTTTCTGAAAGGAGTATCTTTTAATATCCAATAAAGTAAAAACAGTGACCTTTTAGAAGATTATAATCATCAAGGAATCTGATTTTAATTAAGGTCTACTTGCTGAGAAGTACAACTTATTAATAACACAAGGAAATATGCTTGGATATTTCACTCTCACACAAATGTGAAATTGACTTCCTAAAAAATCAAAGCTAGCTCAAATGACAATATTTTATATAAAATATATTTTAGAACCTTACATAATAGATAAAATATAATATGAATAAAGAGTGCTTGCTAATATTAAATATAGAATTGAGAAAAGTACTTTCATTGTATTGTGTTAGTGTAATTTATAAAACTTTTAAGGAATCTTTATTTCTTCAGTCTCACCAAAACTTTAAGTAGAAAGATATTTATTATACAGACATATATTCAGAAGCTTGCTTTGTTCTAGTTATAATAGTTTGTTTCCTCAAAGATATACATATTAAAATACCCCTAAATGTATTTTTCCAGGGCATAAAACAGATTCCTTTGTTGGACTAATGGGCAAAAGAGCTTTAAATTCTGGTATGTATGAAATCATGACTGAAAATAGACAGTATCTCAAATCTATTTCTATTTTTTCCTAAGACATAGTTTTTAAAATATTAAAAAGGAGTAGTAGATACAAAAATGAGTATTATGGTGAAAAAATTTAATTGTTGTAACCACAAATGGATTTATGGGTAGTTAAGCTAATATTACCACAGTATCTGTCTATGTCTCTCCAATCACCATTCTTACCAGTGTCTGCCCCATTTAATCATTACCCAACCTGAATCTTTGGGTTAGTCCTATATTCTTTCCTATAAATCTGTTAAATAAGCCTTGTTTAACCTTACTGAACTAAGGGGCAGTGGGGAGTGCAGGGAAGAATGAGGCTAATTTTCACTTATCAAAGTAATTTTAAAGTTTTAAAAGACATTACATCTGGCGATCTTCCAACACAAAAATAAATTCACAAAACAAATTCTTTATACAAATTAATCACTTTTCTGAAGTTGTAGAAATTCAAAATCTAAGCATCCTGATGGATGTTGGAGAGGATGTGAGTGACATGGTTTATTCCAGTACTTTCAAAAAGAAACACAATTAAATATCCTTGAGTGTTGTAAATTGGTTCTGGCTATAAACTCCTTAGAGAGAAAGGATGCCACAATTCTCATTTTAATTCTGAACAACTTTTTCATATGATATAAAGGCTGCAGGTTTCCTTCTCTTCAGTTTCCATCTTCTTTGTAAATACCATATATATATACATATATATACACATATATATACATATATGATATGTAAATATCATATATATATGAAAACCATTATTAGTTAACTCATTCATCACACTGATTTCAAGGTAAATAAACCCTATATCATTTTAATAGAAGATCACTTTTTGTTAAGACCTTATAGCTCTTACCTCCAGGGCTTCTTGGAAAAGCTATTCAAATTCTATTTTGCCTTCAGTGAAAATAGAATTAAAATACTAAATATGTAATTAATTAGAAAGTAATCAGCAGCTGTCTTGCCCATTTTTAATATTTCTAGTTTCTAGACAATCGATAAGATGTGCTGGCTTAATTCTTAATTGTCTGGATCCTAGGAAAAATAATTATCCTAGTGTTTTTTAATGGAGATTTTTTCTTTATTGTAAAATGGGTACAACAAATAAAACCACTTTCTGTGGGCCAAAAGTTAAAACCCACGATGCAAAAAAAACGTTAACGCAATCTGGGCTACAGCAGAAGCCAGAGAATATATTCATAGAATTGAAAAGTTCTAAGCACTTCATAATTGGCCTTTTGATACATAATTTCTAATAAATTTGGAATTTGTAGTTCCTGGTGTTGAAGTCTGCAGGACAAGCTATCCCAGTGTTTTTACCGGGTCCCCATTTTCTATTTATACACTACCTTTGCATTTTCTCACCAGTCATTTTGGGCTGCCGAAGGGTAAGTGAAGTGTAAGAAATTATCAATGTGCCTTAATGAAAACTTGTAATTGTTTTATTAATATGTATTATCTTCCCACTTTTGGAAATGAAGTATAAATTTAAACCACAATGGCTTTTATTTGTATCAGTACATACTAGTCCTCACTTAACTGTAGTTTTCTTGATAATCATATTAGTCATCAACTTTCCATTTCCAGAACTGATATAGGTTTCAGAACATGCTTAACGTTACAAGTAATGTAGATGTTGTACAAGTTAGAACAGATTAAATACTATTAAATGTACTTCAAATAATAACATGATTGTAAGTAGTGATAAATAGAATCACTGTAATGAATCAGGATCAATTTATAACTAAATCTTTGTTCCTCCATTTTAGTTAAGAAAATATAAATAGGTGAAAAATGGGCAAACATGTGATCTGATCCACAGTCAATCAGGGATGTTTTTATATACCTCATTGAGGCAAGGTTATCATAGCTTTAATCTACAGCCATCTGATCTTTACCCACTCATGGTCAGGGACCCCTTTGACAATCTGATAAATCTAGATAGATGCCCTTTCCCAGAGAAAACCTCATCAACTCATACACTCAAAAATTTATATCAGGCTTCAGAGGGTTCAAAGACCAGGTAAGAAACTCTGCTTCCATGTAAGAGGACATTATGTTCCAGCTAAATCACTGTCTGTCTTTAGTTGGTTTACATTAGCTTTCATCTAATTTCTCTGAGGAACAGAATCATGTTACCTAAAGCTTGTCAGAAACTGAACTTGGGCTATTCATCCTGTTCCTAATATAATCAAACCAGAATGAGAAATAAACTCTTTCCTTCCCTTAAGCCTGTCCAGTGTTGGCTCAGACTGTTCTGCCTCACAAGTGCATACTTAATTGATATAAAATATGCAGCTTACTGTTAACCGCACTTAAAGGATAGTTGGGTGTTTAAGATCAGTCTTAAAAGCAGGAAGTGATAACACTGGTGCCTTTACCTGCCTTCTCTGTCAACAAACCTTCTCACTGAGGAAACTGTTTAGAGTAGCACCTATTATTCCTACAGATCCTTCACAGATCTTTCCGCTGTTTTTGTTTACATTCAGTATTTTATACAGGCCATACTGAATTTCAAAAAACATAGTAGTTTCACTATACCATATGTCTAAGTCTATAGTTAGGATGATGAAAAATATCCCAAAATATCTTATCACAACAGTCTGATTTTTACCCCTTTGTGGTTACAGATCCCTTTGAAATTATATATAATATAATATAACATATAATTTTGGCATTTTTTTGTCCAGATAATCAATGTATCTAAGTTATTTGCTAGCTATATGTTAAATACCTTTGGAAGCAATAATTAACCCTTCACAGACCATTAAGGTGCTAGTGAAAAGTTAAACAGTATGGTATTTAGATGGCTCAACTGACTTACCTACGGTAAATGGGCTGTTTTTAGTCTTGAGGGCAATCCATCACTGGGAGGTATCCACAAGGGAGGAAGAGACCCCCACACAATTAGATGCCCCTTGAGCAGAGATCAGCAAACTTTTCCTGAAAAGAAACAGATTAGAAATATTTTAGGCTTTGTGAGCCATGTAGTCTCTGTTGCAACTACCCAAATCTGTTCTTTTAGGCCAAAGCAGCCATAGACAATATGTAAATGAATGAGTGTGTCTGTATTCCTGTAAACCCATTTATAAGAACAAATGGTTATTTTAGGCATTGTCCTTTCTATAATTCACTGTGGGTATCTGCCACTGCTTGAGAAAGCTGCTGAGAATCAACACTGCAATATATTGTGGAAATATGCTTTGGGGGCACGAAGTATATGATAAATGATGAAAGAAACTGAGTTCTGTGGTCAGATCATTTCCCATCAGGATAGAGACTGAGGCAGGATTGGAAGATATGCAAATTACATTCTTAGAAATATTTCTGTAAGGGAAAATGTCATTAGGAGTTTAGAATAAATTACTATATGCCCTGAACTTTAGTTGTGTAACTCCCTCAGTGAATTCACTTAAAAAACATTTTATCTCCTCTTTGTTTTCAGTGGCTTATGAAAGGAGTGCAATGCAGAATTATGAAAGAAGACGTTAATAAACTACCTGACGTTATTTATTCAGCTTCATTTGTGTCAATGGGCAAGGAAAGGTAAAATAAGACATGCACTATGAGGAATAATTATTTATTTAATAACAGTTGTTTGGGGTTGAAATTTCAAAAAGTGTTTATTTTTCATATTGTGCTAATATGTGTTGTAAACATGTTTTAATTCCAATATGACTCCCTTAAAATAGAAATAAGTGGTTATTTCTCAACAAAGCACAGTGTTCAATGAAATTGTAAAACCTGTCAACGATACAGTCCCTAAAGAAAAAAATCATTGCTTTGAAGCAGTTGTGTCAGCTACTGCGGAAACGGCGGGAAACTCCTGACAGTCTTGTGCTTTTCCTATTTGTTTCCATGGTGAAAATGTACTGAGATTTTGGTATTACACTATATTTGTATCTCTGAAGCATGTTTCATGTTTTGTGACTATATAGAGATGTTTTTAAAAGTTTTAATGTGATTCTAAAGTTTTCATTTCATTGTACGATGTGTTGTGATAGTTAACATTTTAAATAAAAGAAAAAATATCTTGAAGATTTTTGTCACATTCTTTTATTAACATTTGTGTCCAATTAGCAATCTCTCCTTTAATAGGTGAAATATGTTCAAAGCAATTTTGTCTAAAATGCAGTTTCTCTCTCTGTCATGCACTTTTTTTTTTTTGCTAAATCATTTGTCATGAGATCATTTATGAAGAACAGAACTGCATTTTGGATTCCAAAGAGTAAAGGCTAAGTTCTGGTTTTATATGCTTTTGATTCCTTTTTACAAATAGGATAATAATCTATTTCAAAGATATATTTCACTGATTATTTTCTTGTTGAGTAAAACATCAGCTCACTACCATTTCAGCCCTGCTCAGAGCCCAAGTATAAATGCATCACTGCCTGAGTCTCACTAGAATAAAGATAGCAAATCAAATTCTCACAAAGACTGTCGGAAGATGATACAGAAAGATGAGGTGTTGATAATAGGGCAACACCCTCACAGCAAAAATAACCCCTTTCCAGCATTTCTAAGAAATGCCTGTGAATTGCTAATACCTATAACACTCTGTCTGACAGAAGCACATGCATCAGGAATAAATACCGAGCATTGAGAGGGAGGCTTGTGCATTTTGATTGATAAATGTCCTTGGAATCATTTTCTGACTGCACAGAGTATGTGAAGTATTGACCAGCAGAAAAACAATGCAGACAAGCACTGTTCAGTGAAGTAAAAAACATGAATGTAGCCTGGACTGGTGACTGTTGGTGAGCAACCATTTGAAGGAGAGAAGAGCTAAAGCATATTTTAACATTTATGTTTTCAATTAAATATTTTTTTAAAAAACTCCAACTCATATTCCTTAGTACACAATACATCTAAATATGAAAATTATATAATGGTAAGCAAAATGGAGAAAACCAGAGTCATCCCCTAGAGCCCCACTTCCCAACAGCAATGTTTAACATTCCATTGAATAATAATTATAATAAATAATCATTAGCTAAAATTATGTATGTACTTAATCACTCAATGACAGAAATATCATTATTATCATTTTACAGATGGGGTTATGAAGCTTAACGAAATGCTGGGGTCAGAGATTATAATATAATAGGAGTCAGAATTGGAAATAAACTGAGGGGGAAATAGAGCAAATCACTATCTAACAATGAAATTGATTAAGCAAACATATACTAAAACAACAGAATATACAGTCATTTAAAGTGGCATCATGGTGTATTTAATAATGTGGAACAACATATATGGTATGTTGTTAGACATAAAGCAGTATTTGTTATATATATTTACATATATATCTAGCTTTTCTGCATAGCTGTTGCAACAAGAGGAACAATTTTAGTGGATAAGCACATGGGACTCAGTGTCATACCACTCAGGTTTGAATCTTGGCTCTATCACATTACGAATGGCCTTGTAAAGATGGGCAAGTCCCTTAACTTTTTTTTGCCTTATTTTCCTCATCCGTAAAATTAGAATAACACTAGTACTTACTACATGGCATTCAGCTGATGCATTGTAAAGCTTTGAACACAATCTTTCACACACAGCAAACATCCAGTGAATGTTACCTGTTCCCATTGGAAGCTGCTGTTCAAAATGCCAGTGTGAAAATTAGTTCTATATTTTAACCATAAAACATTTTTATAGGCACTAAACACACTGAACAAGCAACAGCACGGGGTGGTATTTAAATCTTTGCCTCACAAATTAAATCCAGGCTATATCACAAATTCGCGGTGCTTTGTGCTGTTCATTGCCGCACTAGGTAGTCCCCATGGCCCCTTCCCACTCTGAAATTCTATAAATCCCTGTGGTATGATCCCACAGTGCCGCATCAAGACATGCATTGGCGAACCTTCACTCATGCCTGCTTTCCCACTAGGCCCAGCAACCCAGTGGCAACACAAATAGGAAAAGGGACAGAAACTTCAGTTTAAATTTCTGCTCAAAACATTTATTATTACTTTCTCTTTGTGCCATATTTCCTTTAGTTAAAGTAAGTTTTCTTCACCTATATTCTTTCTTAAGTATTTTATTCTGTTATGAAACAGCAAAAAGACCAAACTACCTAAAGTTACCTATATACATTATTGCTTTGGTTTTTGTTTGTTTTGGTTTTATTTCCGTATTGGTCTGGGCCCAGGGTAAAAATAAATGATTTTCAAGTTAATTTGAGATGGGGTTAATAAAGGGACTAGTTACAAAGTTACGGGCAGCATATAGAGAAGCTGGTAATGGTATATGGTTCTCCGTGCTATGTCCTTGGGAGCAACAGCTACCCCTACGCCAAAAGGATCAACTTGAGGAAATGAGAGTCCTTATATGCAAAAGGTTGCTTGATGGCAGTGGTCTTCAGTAAAAGAGTGGAGCCAAAACAAGGTGTTCAAGTATGAGTGGGAGGAGGAGAGTGGGGTGGCCAGGGAATAAATATCCCATCCTCATTGCCACCCAGCTGTCTGATCTCCTGTTGGTACCTCCCACTGGGCAAACCCAACTGGAAAACAGAAGAGTAGGAGCCCTTGAATGCTGTCTACACAGGTAAGCAGCACATACAGGGCTCTTGCGCATATGGAGAAAGCTGGCAGGTGCATTGGTGGGGTGGGGCAGGGGAGGAAGAAGCAAGATATTCAACACGTGTGCCCTGTTGTCTTGAATCGAAGAGAAATTAATAAGCAGAAATCCAAATAAAGGAAAGCATACAGTAACAAGAAAAGTCCTTCTCTATATCCCCAGGGATATAGTTTCACATGAATCCATCCAGACAGACAAAAATAAGAGTATCTTGTCTCAATTTGAGCATGTGCTGAAATCTCTTCTTCTAACACAAAATAATTGTGAATGATTTTTAAGGAAGTTAGTATGTTGGGATTTGTGCAAAACACAGGAAAGATTTTTATTATATCAGAAATTATGTAAATCCCCAGAAAAGAAGCAGAACGGAAGCCACAACAGTAAGTCATAGTCCTAGCAGGAAATTGCAGAGGCTACGGGGGAAGGTGCCAACCCCAGAATAAGGAATTGACCACTGCAGACAACAGACTTGCTAGCAATACTGGATGAGTATTGCAGCCATGAGATAAAGGGACAAAATACTCAAAACTCTTAAGGAAAACAGTGTTTAACCAAACTATCACTTAACAGTGAGGATGAATTTGTGGAAGAAGAAAAGCCAACTAAGAGCTGTTAGCTTAAGCCTTATTAAAACCATTGCAACATGAGAATAGCTCAAAATAGCTGTTCTGCTGAAGAGCAGGTAGTCTAAGGAATTTATATGTTAGATGAGCCAGGTGCAGCAGCTCATGCCTATAATCCCAGTGCTTCGGGAGGCTGAGACGGGAGGACTGCTTGAGGCCAAGAGTTTAAAACCAGCCTGATCTTAGAAAAGCAGGACCCCATTTCTACAAAAAACATAAATGAAACATTACCTGGGCATGGTGGCACATGCCTGTAGTCCTAGCTATTCAGGGAGCGAGGTGGGAGAATAATTTGAGCCCAGGAGTTTGAGGTTAAGGTGAGCTGTGGTCGTGCTACCATATTTGAGTCTGGGTAACAGAGCAAGACCCTGTTTCTGAAAACAAATGAACAACAACAAAACATATGAATTTACATGTTAGGTTGATGAAGGTCAGTCAATATTTCACTATATCCTGAAAATTGTCCACTGTTTCAATTCAGAGAAGGTATGGGGCTGTATTAATAATGAAACAGGATTCAGGTCCTGCAAGACTGAAGATAAGGTTCTACCAGCTGTTGTCCAATTTGGGTCTGGCAGGAAAAGTAAGGAGAAAGAGGTGCTGGCCCAGATCTTACTAGGGTCAGTGAAATAAATTCAGTCATTCACCTTCTTTCACTAATTAAGGGCATTTTCACACATCTAAAATCTCAGAAAGTTTATGCCCACCTTCTTTGAAAAAATTACTAAGGACATATTTTAGCAAGAAAAAAACTAAATCTGGGAGGAAATAATTATAAGAAATATGGTGAGCAAAGTAATTATTTTAAAAATATTGCTAAATTGAAGGGTTATGTATATGTATGTGTGTTAAATAAACAATATAGAAGTAAAATCTGATAAGATGTCAACATGGGAGTTAGCTAGGGGAGAAGGAAGGACAGTATAAAAGGAAATGAATACATGCTAAATTTATTGTGTTACTGAGGAGGCTAGGACATAACCCAGACTTTTTTTTCAAAGAATGTGTAAGTTTTTGTGAGTGAGTTAAAAATATACACAGGTTAAAACTAAAAGAATAGATGAATAAGTAACTATCAAAACAGAAGAAGGAAAATGTTGCAAAGCACAATCTAATCAACAGAAGGAAAGAAAGTTTTTAAAAATCTTGGTTAAAAAAACTAACTAGGCCGGGCACTGTGGCTCACGCCTGTAATCCCAGCACTTTGGGAGGCCGAGGTGGGCGGATTACCTGAGGTCAGGAGTTCAAGACCAGCCTGGCCAACATGGTGAAACCCCGTCTCTAGCAAAAATACAAAATTAGCCGGGGTGTGGTGGTGGGTGCCTGTACTTCCAGCTACTTCGGAGGCTGAGACAGGAGAATTGCTTGAACCCGGGAGGCAGAGGTTGCAGTGAGCTGAGATCATGCCACTGCACTCTAGCCTGGGCAGAAAGAACAAAACTCCATTTCAAAAAAGCAAACAAACAAACAAAACAAAACCTAACTAAACATTAATATTTGCATAAATATGAGTAGCTTTATTAGACCTACTAAAAGACAGAGATTTCAGGTTGCTAAAAAGATTTTAAAATGTAGCTATTTATTATTTACCAAAAGACAAACCTGAAAAAAAATAGAAAAGTGTTAAAAAATAAAGGGATATTTTAAAAATCTGCCAAATACTAACATAATGATTATATAGCAATTTTACTGTCATATGAGTCAGTAAAAAATTTTCCTGGTAAAAATTCCAGGAAATCAAAAATGATTATGAATATCGATAAAAGGAATAATCTACTAAGAACACATAACAGCTTCAAACCTTTATGAATATGAAGTTAATTCAAAATA